GCCATAACAACCAGTTGACCAATCAACACAGGGCAAGCCCTCCAAGCCTGGAGGCACACCAATCGTGAGCCTGTGCGTACCCCTAGACACTCCCCTTACGCTGTCCTATAAGATCTCTTGGGAGGCTCTAGGAGCCATCTTTTCCTAGCCATCTGCTATGGTGGGTGGGTGAAAGATTCGAGCTAACATGGGGTTAGCTCGTTAAATTACTATAAAGCCTCGTGCAGTTTGCATCAAGCTCTCGAATCCGCCTGGTGATTGGGGTGACTGCAGTCGTGGCCTGGGACCCCGGATACTTGAGTTTTCCGGGGGTCTAACACATGTAAATATGCTCATTTAACATCTAGGAACTATTTTATTTTGTGGTAAGGGAAAGGTATTGGCAAAGACTATGGCTTCCACGACACAGGGAGGGGAAGTCCCAGCTGTAAATGGGAAGGGGCTGGGATCCTCCAGTGCCTGAGGCAGTTGTTCTCTGGGGGATTTTATCACACTCTCCTGCTTTGTTCTTCACAGTAGGAGAACCTTTTCTGGAGAGATGACAGCCAGTGCACAGGGGAGTTACATAGCTGGTAGAGGTTTGATTACCCGCCCAAGGCTAGAAGACCCTAATCCAGGGTGGCTGCACTGGGAAAGAAGATGGAGTAGGTTACCAGATTAACGACAATGGCAAAGCCAAGAGCAGGAGTCTGAGGCTGGCTGAGGGACTGCAGGTGCACTGGATTCTTCCTCTAGTCTAGGATGGCTCCTGGGGAAGCCACGGTCATTTGTCCAGATAACACGTGGTGGAAGCAAGCACAGCTGGGGCTCAGTACCTAGGCAACCAGAACTCACTCTTCTTACTGGCTATCAAGCTCTTACCTCTGCATCATTTGCTCACTGGGGCTTCTCTTCCCTAATGGCCATTAAAAACATAAGCAGCCAACGACAGCCAGGTACTCACTCTTCCATGAAAGCACATGGAAAAATAATAGCAGAGTGGGCTTTATGGAAATGTGGTTCAGGGAAAAATCTTTGTTCTGAGATGGTGTAAGTGATGGAGCCAGGGAGTTCTGAAAATCTGTTGGGAGGAAGAGAAACATGGGAACACATCCCTCCCTATTCTTTAATGGCTCAACCCAAGCTGGGCTCGCTGTCACACAAGTCACAATAAGACATTTTATATGACATTCCTGTTGTCAAAGAACCTCATTCCCAATAAGAGTTAAGGATGTCCCATGTAGGGAATGGATAACTCATTAGATGGTGGGGAGGACAGTGTAAAGGTCTCATGCAGCGAAAAGTGTGGACGATCGTGATTGGCTAGGAGTCCTTCTGTCTCCCTTCCCCTTCCCTCCCCTCCCCTCCCCTCCTCCACACTGCCTTGTCTTCAGAGATCCATGTTTATGGCTCAACACTTTTCTGCAGCTATCTTTTCACTTTTATCTGTTTTACCCTGCTAGACGTCAGTCGGCTCTGTAGAGGGACAAGTGAAAGTTTCAGAAAAGAGAATCCAGAGATGTCACTTGCCACCCTGAAACCTATAGCAACTTTCCATTCTATCAGGACAAACATGAGGACGTTTAATATGCTTACCAGAGCCTTCGGGGCTGGCTTGTCATCCTCAGTGGCTCATCACTAGCTCTCCCATACCCTATACCACAACAACCCTGGCGTTGCTTCTGTCCTTCATTCTTGGGTCTCTCTCCTGCCAGAGGACCTTTGCCTGTGTTCTCATTCTAGAAGCTTCTTAATGCTCTCAGCTAGTTAACCCCAACTAATCTATGATGGCTCAGCATTTCTGCCTAGGAGCTTCCCTACGGTGCAGGGCCGACACTGAGTTATAGTTACTAACGAAACAATATATTCAGACCCTGCCCCCTGCCCAGAAACCATACAAAAGTACACTCAATAATTTCAGGTATATGAAAATGTCTCTCACTGCTGTGTCCCGAACTGTCCCCAAGGCATTCTCTTGTAGCCTCTCAGAGTCAGAAAAGATAGAGGAAATGTTACCTATTTTCATGTCCTTGAAGCTGAAGAGGTTGAGGAGGAGCTGGCTGGGCAACAGGGCTGTTGGGGGTGGCTGGGCTTGGCTGGGCCAGAGGGCTCTGCTGGGCCAGAGGGCTATGCTGCTGGGCCATGGGACTCTGCTTCTCTGAGCTGGGCGCAGATGCTGGGCTGTTGAGCTCTGATGGGAACCAAGGCAACAGATGTGGTCAGGTTGGCATCTGATCAGAGGCAAGAAGTAAACAGAGGTTGGCACTCATTGCCCCCTTGTATGATCCCAGAACTTGGCCATTTCAGTTCCTTCTAACAGGTTAAACTTACCAAGGTCCACACCATTCCTGGAAGGGGTGCTCTTTTACAGTCATTACTGAATGTAGTTATGAACAGTCTTGCCATTTTGTGAGAGGAAACGTCAGTGAAGCAAACCAACCAAAGTAGAAACGACACTAAAACTATGAGAAGACAACTCAAAGGAACAAGTGTAAAACTCAACATTCTAAAAATATTTGAATTGTTGCTGAAAGTGTTCTAGCTAACACCTTTTGACTATTTAAGAAGTCCTTACCTTTTGACACAGCCCCACTCTGGAGCCCAGCTGATCCAGAAGAGGTGGCTTTTACTCCAGCTGCCAAGGAGCTGGGTTGTGTGGTGTGTACACCACACCCAGCCCAAGTCTACCAGGCTTCCAATGTATGGACAGGAAGCTGGATGCTCAAAATGAAATGGTGTTGCAACCTTTTCTCTGGCCCCTTGCCAGTCTTACTAAGAGCCCTCTGTATTCACAGTTCTCCAGAAAGAAAAAAAGAACTCCACACACAGAGAGGTGCAGAAGGCTGTTCAAAAACGGCTTCTTCCTTTTCTTACCTTAACAACATAAAATTTCAATGGATCCGACCTTCACATGTTAAGAGTAAAGGCAGGACCAACACTTCAGACGGGGGAGGGCAGACGAGTACACCCAGTCCTGCTTACAGTTCATTTCCACTGACTGTCTTACACAGACTGGTGCCTTCAGACAACAGACTAAAACTGCCTGCCTGCCTGTCTGTCTGTCTGTCTGTCTGTCTGTCTGTCTGTCTGTCTGTCGGTCTGTCGGTCTGTCTATCTATCTGTTTGTGTCTTTCTATTTTTGTAGCTGGGTGACAAAGGGAGGTAACCTATTTACATTCGGATATAAACCACTTTTCTGTCTTCTCTTACAGTCCAAATGTCTTAATATTATCCCTGTTTTAAATTAGGATCTCTCATCCTTTACACTCTTCACATTTGTTTTGATCAGATAATTATTTGCTGTGGGGTATTGTCCTGAGCATTATAGGATGTTTTGGAGCACCTCTGACCTCTGTTCACTAGATGACAAGTCATATTCCCACCCCAATCATGACAGTCAAAATTGTCTCTAGACAGTGCCAGATTACTCCCCAAGGGCCCCAGATCAGCCTAGTTGGAAGTTTCTGTTTTATAATTAAAGTCCTGTGGATGTCTACACTGCCATTTAGTGTCCACATATCAGACAGTCCTAAAGTAGAATGGGTAGGGGGCTGAGTCAAATAAAGACTGCAAAATAAGCCTATTAGTCCCTGGAGGGGACCCATGGCCACTCATCAATGAGCTCCATGAGCCCCTGGAGGGGACAGCATGGCTGCTCATCAGTGAGGTCCAAAGATGAACCTCTTCAGTTCCATTGATGAGTCAGAAGCTACAGCTCAGCAACCAGCCTGCTTGCTGGGCATGGAAACCCTGAAAGAATGTAGCTGGGCCTCAGCTGTGAGTGTGGGTTGTTCACTGTTCTGAGACCTTCAGGTGCTGGGGCAGAGGAGGGGACTTGTACAGAGAAATTCAAAAAGCTAAGTGGGAATTTTACATTCTTATCAGATGTAACATTTCTTAAATGAACTCTCTTTGGATTGCAAAACTAAAACTTCCCCAGGCATTTCAAAATCAATCTGACTTTGAAGACTTTTCCAGAGATAAATTATTAACATGAGCAAGGGTTCCCTCCTCTGCCTTTTTGCCCCCCTCCTTTCAGGTTTATATTGCTACCTGCTGAGTTGAGTGAGTTCTGGGTTTATATCTCCATAAAACTAGTGTGCTGGAACCCCCAGGGAGGGCTCTGATAGCCCTGAGTCTTGTGAGTCTTACTACTAAGCTTGCAGTACCACACGGGGATTTCTAGATGAAACTGGGTGAGTGTGAGTTTGGGAAAAAGTGGAGATGGTTGTCAAATTCTGACACTCGGACAGCACCCTGCTGTCAGCTGGTGGACTCCAGGAGCTGGGTGGGTAGGCTGAAGAACTCTGGATGAATCTGTCTACGGTCTGACTGAGGTCACCTCAGGCACTCACCCTCCTGAGGAATGATTCGAAGGGTGACACTAAGGCCTGCATCCTTGATGAGTTTAACGATGTCAGCGTGAGGCATGTTGACGATAGACTGCCCGTTGACTGCTAAGATCCGGTCTCCCACTTTCAGTTTTGCACAACGATCTGCGGGACTCCCATCAATGATGCGTCCGATTTTATGGGGCACAGCTGGAAAAAAAAAACAACAGAAATAGATACCAGGGACATCACCAGTCTATTTTCTATCTTCCTGTCCTGCCTAAGAAAAGCACTGCAATGTCAGAATCCTATCCTTTGTCATTGTCTCTGCCTCTTCCCTTAATAACCATGTCTAATAAATGTGGTCTATGCATATTGCTGAGACCAGTGTTCCTCAATTCAAGTTCTTAGCAGTGATAGGCCAATTCTAAACCCAAAGAGCAGACGTTCTCAAGTGTTGAGGTGCATCAAACTCATCTGAGGTTCAAATAAGCTGGGCCTTATCCAAACATCAGAATCTGAATATCTAGGCAGGAAACGAGGGCTATGCATTTCTAAGCGGTTTCTTGGTAGAGTGTGGTATATCCCAGTGTTAGAGACCTGCAGGTGTAGAAGAACGTGCAGAATGCTCACACTTGAGAGACAGTGGCGTGGTTTCAGGAAGGTACAAGAAATGACAGGAACTTAATTTATATCTCTGTCTTATTGACAGGAGGAAAGAGAGGAAATCCTTGGGTACACAGGAATCCTGGGAGCAGCTTCTTGGCAAAGCAACAGAACTTACCTCTAGTCTGCTAAGATTTAGTTTAAGGGCAGCATGGTTTCTACCACTAATGTCAAGTGTACAATGAATTTCATCAAATCTGAGATGGCAAGGATACAATTTCAAGGGTCACAAGAAAGAAACAAAATAGAAAGCTTCTCCTTAAACAATGATATTCATTAGCCAGAAGATTTGCTCTAAATGTCGAGATATCAAAATAGGGTAGGAGTTTCAGAGTCGGTATAACTTTTATGTAATTCTTTAAAAACAAGGAGCACATTTTATTTTAAGCTTTATATATTTGAGAAGGGTCAGATACATGGGGATGCATGTTTTTCTAGCAGGTTGACTGTCATTTAGTGTAAATGGTGAGCTACATACCAAGGTTGCTGTGTCTGGGCACAGATCTCAATAGTATACAGTGTCCCGTGTGTCCCATCAAAGACCTTGTTATTTCAAACACTGTTGATAGATCAGAAGCAGAGACAGACACAGCCCACTGTTCAGATTCTCCAGGGATGTCTATTTGGTGCATTGTTACAGTGAAGGGTGGAATTATCAACTAATAACCGTGGAGAGGAAGCACAATTAGTGTGCTAATGAACCTAGGGATGGCTCACTCTTCTACTGTGAAAGCTTACAGGCAGCATATAAACATATTGGCCAAGGTTGTGTCCCTGAAATGAAACCCATCATGTTTGAGCCCAAACTCATTTTTATTTACCATAAGCACTAATGTCTTTAATTAAGAGGGCACAATTTAGAGTTTACTAATGATCACTTTAGAGTCATAGACTATATATCTCAGGCAGAAATATAATAAGAACAATTACTGATTCAAAAGATAATAATGTAGGGGACCAGTGAGATGGCTCATCAGGAAGGATGCTTGCCCGATGGATGGCTCGAGTTTAATCTCCAGATTTCACAAGGCAGCTGGAGAGATCTGACTCTGTGGGGTTGTCCCCACGTCTCCACAGTACACTGTGGGACTCATGCACTTGCACATGCGTGTGTACACACACACACACAAATACACACATGCCTACATGTAGGCACACACATAGACATGCACACACACAAATACACACATAATACATGTAGGCACACACATAGACATGCACACATGTACACATAGGCATGCAATACACCATGGTATACACACACACACACACACACACACACACACACACAAAGAGGAATAAGTGTAAAAAATGTGGCTATTGAAAGGTGTTTGGTTTTCAACCATAATTAGGGGAGAGGTTTTTTTTTTTTTTTTTTTTTTTTTTTTTTCCCTGCTGTTTCCACTTTCCATGCTCAATAGTTCTTGGAATGATCCCATGGATTTGCTTTCCTGCCCATAAATGTGTACACTGTAGTCTATCCTGTGATCTTTGGGAAGTTACCTTAGATCTCTGAACTTTTTCCATGTATTGTTGGGGTAATAATATCACTGACCTCATAGTTCTATGAACTGGATGAACCGTAAGTGCCCATCTCTAAAGAACTAACTTGGAATTATTAACTACTATTCTTTTCATTACTGTTTCTTTTCAAATCTTTCTTACAAAACGCGTGTGTGAGTGTGTGTGTGTGTGTGTGTGTGTGTGTGTGTGCGCCAATTTGGTTTCTTTCTATATGGGATAACTATTAACACAAAACCCAAAGGGACATGAACACTACCATCCCCCAAACATCACACGGAAATGACTTCATTGAAGAAGAGCTGTGTCCCCAGGATCAGATAGACACTGGATGAGGCAAATCTGCCTTTCTCTGATTTCCCATCAAAACCATTGCACATCTTTGTTGAAAACACCAACTTGGAGCTAACAGTTTATTATTCAAGAGGCAATCAACATAATCCTTTGGTTATCTACTTTCAGATTTATTGAGGGCTAGCAGCAATTCCTTCTACCTCTTTTGAGTACTTATTAACATGAGATATTTAATTCATATTTAAATTTAATTTTTACTTAACATTTAACATTAAAATTTAATATTTAATAAAGTTATTTCTACATGCAGTTATATTTATATTAAAATGTACATAATGTAGCCCTTAAATGCTACTGGTATACTTATGAGTTTTCAGTGGAAGAAATGGATAGAAAGCAGATAGCAGTTACTGATTTGTTCAAGGTCACAAAGGGCAAGCAGGGCTCAGAGCCTCAGTGACCCAGAGTCCAGTCGCCAGAGCTCTTGGGGAACCTACCACTCTGCCTCTCTGGGCTTTGCCTGATGTCCAACCTTTAACCTACAACTTGCTTTGAGCATTAGCCTGGTGCTTTTATTTGGGACTGTACCCTGCTTCTAAGCCAGGCATCACAACAGCGCATGTGCAGTGCAGAAGCAGGGGAGGGTGCAAGCCAGGTGCTGTGCTTGAACGGGGATGCTTTGATGATGGGATGCTTGATGCAGCTCAGCTGATGCAGGAGGAGTAGAGAAGAGGAAAACTGGATAGCCCTGGATAGATCCTGTTTAGTTAGGGTTTGACATCACTGTGCCATTTCTTTGCTCGAAGAAATTTGGGGGGCGGCTATGAGAAATGCTGACATTTGAAATGAAATTAAAAAAAATATACTGCAAAACGCTGACAAATGGTGCTTGGATGGCTGGTTTTCTGCATTGACTTATTGCTCCTCTGTTCTCTCCTCCACTGTGCTGTGTAATCTGGAATTTTCTGGGCATAAAACCCCAAATGTTTCAGAATACAATCTCCTCCCCATAATTTTGTGTACTCAACAGCAATGAAAATAAACAACCGAAGGCTATTAATTTCCAAGTGCCACTCAAAAGCCGTTATTTCAAATCTTACAGCATAGTAATCAAGCTTTTTTTTTTTTTTTTTTTTTCCTGTAAAGCAAACATGCTAGGGTCAAATCCAGCCTTGAAATCCTTTCCTGTGGTATCAAACCTTGGAGTGGTTCCCTTCGAATGGGCTGTGGGCTCTGGAAGCACTTGCTCTGCAAGGACAGGGGAAGGGCTTGTCTGACTGCCGAAAGCATGCTGCCTGAAATCTCAAGATGAACACTGCATTTTAACTTTCTTCCAGTAGTTAGAATAGTGGTGAAAGAAAAAAAAAAAAAAAAAAAAAAAAAAAAAAAAAAAAAAAAAACAACAACTGAAATGGAAACACACTCTGTTAGCCACCCTGAGTGACAGAAGGCTTTACATAAAACCCAAATGAACACTTAACATGTGCTCAGTTGCTGGGAGCACCTGACATGGTTCTGATACAAGGGCCTTCTGGTGGCATCTGCTTTAATACAAACAGTATTTGAGTCTCCTGGCAGCTGATGCAGCCTCACTTTTTTCTTTGTCGGCATTCCTGCTACATATGCAACTACCTTCTGATGTACAACAGGGTGCTTCCAAAGAGAATTCTCTCTGGGAACAAGACGCAGTCCTATTTCCTCAGAGATAAGGCTGCAGGCTTGATGACCACGTGCCTGCAGTGTGATGCTAGTGGAATTACTGCGCAAAGAAGAGGCCCTGCCCTTTGTTTCTACTGTTGGGATCAATGGCATGCGTTAATTCTCTGAGGTCTGAGATAACTGCTGGAGTGCTGTCTGTTTAGATGCATGCCTTGCATAAATCAAGTCTTTGGATCAGTCTCCCTGCCATGGTGTGCATAGGGTACACAGATACTGGGGGACGTCACAGTGCCTCATCTGGCTTTGGTCATACAGACATTTAGGAAAGAGGTGATAGGTCACTAGATAGAAATTTCAAAAGCATCTTCCCTGTCTAATTATTCAGCCCATACCAGTTTCTTTGCAATGCACTTTGTACTCTCCGGGAGATGAGTCACCTTTTTGGCACTGTCCAGCATACCATGTTGATCTTAGGAATATTCAGAAAATGTCTCTTGGGCTGGGTTCTCTTGGCCAACATCCTGGGGTCTCCAGCAACATCATTGCAGGTGACAATGCTGCTCCTTTTTCTTTGCTTGGGCTCCTTACTGGATCTCTGTATGGCTACCTCAGGCTTTCACAGATCTTTCATGGATGTGGCCAGAGTCAGCTGATGAATCAGCTGAGTGCTGCCTTCGGTCAGCTTCCACGAAGATGCTATTATGACCACCTGGAGAACTAAAACATATTTATCTGTAGTGTGGCATCTTGTTCCTCCAGTAGACTTGAGGTAATAGCCACACCTTAGGGTGTGGCTTCAGAGTGTGTGGATCTGACCCTTTATGAGGAAGAGGAGGGGCTGGCTCACTCTTTCTTGGGTTGTGGTCAAAGAATCCTGAGTGGCAGAGGCTGCATCACCAGGAGCAGAAGGCCTTGGGAGTTATTTACCATCATTGTTTGAGGGCTACCCAAATGAGTGTCTGTTAATTCTTTATCTGGGTGTTCACGACTTCTTTTAACCTGTCTTCATTTATCCACTCATTTTCTTGAGAAAGGGTCTTGCAATGTTTCCCCAGTTGGTTTGGATCTCT